AATTACATTTAAAAAAGATATTTATTGCCAAGCCCGCATTTCTACATGTGCGGGCTTGGCTGCATGCTAACCGTGTCTTTTTTTAATTTAGATAATAAAATGTGTTTTTTTTTTAATTTCCCCTTTTTTTATTGTCCCCAAGGTGTATTAAATACTAAATTTTATTCCAAATGATTTGTAAAACAACAAAAAATAATATTCTTTGATCTCTCTGATAAGATCTGGTAGGCAAATGCTAACTTGTAACATTATGATTAAAGCTATTCCAACTGTCCATTCGGCTCTGATGGCTAGCTAGAAAAGAGTTAGCCTATGTCATTTTCTTATATACCCAATGTATAGAAAGGTTTCCCAGACTCGCTTTACATTATGGGTAGTTGCGCCCTCAGTTAGATTCAAGAGCATATATATATTTTTTTTATTTGGGTAATTCAGTGAGAAAGACAGATCGTTACCTGTTTTTTCAAATAGATTAGGAGTTAGCTTTTTGTAGGTGATTAAATCACAACGTGGTTACTAAGTATGGGGATGCTACCACCACGATCCAACCCTTTCCCCTCAAGAGTATATCCTTTGCTGTGATATATGCTATGTCATGTTGGTATTTTCCATTTCCATGCATCCATCGTGGTAACTTATGTCACACTATCATTGGATGCTCATTCTATGATAATCACCATCTTCCCATAGTACGTATTATCGTTATCAGAGCCTTTTTTCAACTAATTGACATCGGCAACCTCATAGTGCATGTTATACCATTCTCAATATTAGTACAATAAGAACACATCAATTATGTTTTTTCGCAGTTGGAACGACACACTTCATATGTGTGATAGCATTTGGTTTTGAAATAATTTGGCAACACCTCCCCAATTATAAGATTTCAACAATAGATGGTTGGGAGATGCAGAACTGAGAAAGTGCAGGTTTTAACGGTCAAAACTGCTGAAAATCCTAAAAATGTTCATTAAAATGCAAATGAAAAGGCATTTTCAAGCTCAAGCTTTTTACTGAACTAAACCCGTTTGGGATCTGATCCAAAGCAGGTTGTATCGGATTCGTTTTAGTTCCGATAACACGTATACGCCTAAGCACATTTAGAAAGAGGGATGTGCAAGTGTGTGTGTCAGTGGAGATGCATGCATGCATGTTTTTCTTGTAAGAAAATATATCACAACAGGAGATGAGAAAGCGAGATATAGAGCACCTGTGGTCTATTACCTATGATGAAAGGTGGAGATTAAGTGTCTTTCAGGGAATCCTAAGACACAAACGAGGCAGCTATTAGCGAAGGGAGCGGTGTCGTGTCCCATGTTTGCCGTACCCTGCACACTAAAACAAAGAAGATCAGGGAAAGCCCATGTTTTCGCACGCGTCGTGCCGAAAAGACCGCGGTTAGTTTTCTGATTTATTGTATTTCTTCATTTGGACAACAAACCTGTCGCGATGAATCTTGTCGAGCCCGCCTTGCGCAAGATTCGACCCACATTGCATTGATATCCACCATCCATCCTTGGATAATTCCTCTTCTGCTATTGAGCACCACCCAACTGAGCCATGAGTTCAACCAAAAAGAGAGGTGTATAGTTTTCTATATAGTAAAATGAGAGCTTTGCTTACAATATATGAGAGAGAGAGAGAGAGAGAGAGAGAGAGAGAGAGAGAGATAATGTTTACTAACTTGAGAGACATGTGGGGTATAACAAGATGCATGTATATGCATTTTGTCTAGTTGGAGGGCAACTTTGAAAATAAATGGGTAGGACTTAATGAGTATTAATTAGAAAGATATAGTACCATTAATTGTGTTCTTGTCAAAAAAAAAAGAAGATATAGTACCATTCATTTATATTATAAGCATGCAGTTATTTTTAAGCAGCATTTTGAAGCCCTGCATGCCTTGCCAACCCATGCTCTTATCTTTCTAGACAAAAATGGGAAATGTACTTAATTTGAGAATCTCTTTTCTCTGGAAAATAGGGATTTTCAATCTAGGGTTTACCATAGGTGCAATGCATGGGATTTCACTCATATTTGACAGAGAAAAAAAGAAGAATTCTCTTCTTAAAAAAAAAGAAAAAGAGGACACAGCCTCTATGAGTCCCCGGACTCAAATGGACAAATGGAGCCCCC